TTTTTTCAAATTCCACATTTAAATTTGTTTCCATTTAATATTCAATAGATGTTTGAATGAGTTTTTAACTATTTTGATTTCATACAAAAATAGGCCTAATTGACGAACTATCAGAAAGATAACGAGTCCCGTACTAGCATTTAACCAACGAGATGATATTTTTTAACATATTTGTCGAGGTGACAATAATTATTACACCTCTCTGCCAATCTCTCCGTAAGTATTTTACGCGTGATAACAAAATTATTAAGAGAGTATAAAACAGTTTGAAAATACAGAGAATATGAAATCGTGAAAGAACAATAAAATGGAGTGAACAATAAAACTACAAAAAAAAAGGCAAAAGATGTAAAATTTACTACCACTTGTCAGTTAAAGGCTGGGGCTAAGGCCAGAATTATCGAAAATCTCATGTGATGGTCGATTCAAAAAAATATTAATACCAATACTATTATCAAAAACAATATTGCCTTAAAATATTAATTATGAAAATTAATTAATTACCATTAATATATTAAAAAATAATTATTTTAATAACAAACCGTCAACTTGGCGACCATTTAGCTAAAGCCTAATTGTTATAGAAAGACTATTCCAAAGTGAACCAATTTTGACAAAGAATAACAAAATGCCTACTGCAGTAAAGTGGCAAAAATTCTCTAATATTGGCGACTTAGAAGACTTACCCCTAAATTATTTGTAGAGTTTACAAACAAATATTTTATTTAATGTACTCAAACAATATAAAAGTACGATTTAAATTAGAAATTTAATTATAAGAATTTTTAATATTTTACAAGTTTTACAGTAATTTTATTGAAAAACTATAAAACGAAATTTCAATTCATTCAATTTAATTGAAAAAATCATCTTTGTATTCATATAAAATACTCTCACCCCCTTCAAAAATATTTCTTTACAAATTTTAATAAAAATCTTTTTTGATAATTTTACTTAAATCATAAAAATAAAAACATATTTTTCACATATAATTTTAATAAATTACTTAAACAAGTTATTCATAACCAAATTCTTTTATATGAACTTTTTGAAAGGAGAAGCACATTAAAAATATTCATTCATTCATTGCAGTTTTTAGAATCTTCTTTTGTCCTTTCTAAAAAAATCTCATTCAAATCCCGTATCTGTATATAAATTATAATTCTCTATCATTTACACAATATAATACTCAAATTTCGACATACATTAATTTAAATTCATATTATATTACACAGCGTTCTCTAATCTACTCCTTACTAAAATATGACAAATTTGATTTTAGCTATCAGTCCTCAATAAAATTTAATTTCCGCTTAGTACAAAAAAAATAATGGAAACAACCAGACACCATATAATGGAAAATAAAATTGACATACATTATTTATTCAATACCGCAAAATAAATTTAAATATTTTCAAAAACTCAATGGAAAAGGACATTAAACAATTAACAAATTCTATACCGGTTTGGATTTCGAAGGGGAGCTTCGATGCAACAAACCGAGAGGTAATATGGTAATCCTTAGCGTATAAAGGCATTCCAAACAAACTTGTGGAATCGAAACATGGCACAGATCAGTTAAGAAAGAAATAGGATAGAGCAGCAAAACATGGCCCGAAATAAAGTCACTGATACACAATAGAATTATCTACCTAAGGAAGTAAAAAAAGAATTTAGGGTGTAATTGATTAGATGGAAACTAAATTATTACTAGTCCCTGAAATAAAAATTATTTGGTGCAAATACAAAATTATGGTGTTTTATTTGTATTTCAAACCTAAATTATTAAAGATAAAGGAAGTATAGAAGCATAGTAAATAGAATCTAAATGTCTATATTTATTTATTTCCAAAAAATATCTTAGAATTGACTTTTATTATCTGCATGCGTAGCAATATGTTTATTCATTTGAAAGATATTTGTGTATAGTAACAAAAGCTCTTTATAATGAGATTTACAGTCTCTTATATTGTGCATATGGAAAAGTATTTTTCAATTGAAACACTGTATGTGGTTTACCTTTTCAAAAAGAAAACTCCATACTCTTTCCTCATCCCTTATTAAATTATTATTTCTCAATGTGTGCATACATTCTCTCATGCATAGAATAAAAATACACAAAACTACATAAAATCATAATGTGTGCTACGTCTTCTATTTTAAATAACAAAATTTTAAAATAATTTGGTATCAGATTCACATACCACCATCTATTTTTACTTGAAGGATATGTGATAAAACAGCAAGTAGTATAAAATGAACACTTCATCCTATAGTATGTTAACGATGTTCATAATAATAATATAATCTTAAGAATGTATCATAAGGATTTAAGAATACAGTTTTTTTCTTAAATGTATCTTTTATCATGTATCTTTAAATTTTTCTTTTCACCATATTCTCAATATAATATGTGTGCAAAAATATGCTATTACATTGTTTGTTAATGTTTATATTCATTGCTTGTTTTTTTCAGTTAAATTTCCTTGCTCGAAAACGTTATGAATTCCTGACAATCTTAAATATTATTTTCTTTTAAATTCTTTTCCTAATAAAAGTTCGATTTTGAATAGATATAAGTTAAACATAAAAAAAAGCGAGATATTGGACATAAAGGCAGAAGTCAACGAATATTAAAACGTTCATTGATCGGAATTGAATCCCCGGGCAAAAAATGTAAATTGGCCAAATCTTGTCCCAAGAAATGTTAAATTTGTAATAGAGTCGACAAACATCTAACTAGTACTATTCTAACTATTCTATCGCAAAAGTAAATACAGTGAACTTTAAGCTTCTCAGAATATCCGCAATCTGGCGTGACTCTAATAGTAAATAACGTTGGGAATAGAATACAAATAAATACTGCACTGAGAATCCTATGTTTGCTGGTTGAAAAGAAGTTACACAGCGGTGGTGCTACCGACCATTACTATATGTGAAGTAGTAAGAACAATGTGGCTGAAATACAGTTTAAGAAGTTCGAAGATTTCGGAACAAGCTACGAAATTTTATGAATAAATACCAAATGCTTTGAAGCTATCCATGCAGCTATTATACAAGGTTTTGACGATGTGAGTTGGCGGTAGTATAAAAGTTGATACAATTCCAAATTTATTTTGAAAAACCGAACAAATACTACTTTTTGAGTTATAGTTTTTAAAACTATTCCTTCTGCATGAATATTTGTTAGTCGGCAAACTTTATCATAAATTTTACCATTTTACTTTTTTAGTAATTTTAAGGATTATAGTATATAGTAAAGTTATTAGTTAAAGTCCTTCTTTTTTTTACTTCTTACACCAGTATGCAAAGAAAGTGTCGCGTCTGTATTTCATGATAATTCAAAAAATATCACAATGAGAATAAAAAGTTTAAGGAGCATATTGTAACCAACTATATACATAGTGAAGTGGATAATAAGCATATGTACTTATATACATATGTGTGAATGTATAATAAAATGACAACTTGTTTGTTGATTGTTATATTTGCCTTTGCTAATGTCACAAAAAAAAAAAAAAAACTCCGTCTTCTACATTGCAATATTCTTGTAAATTAAAGTTTCAAGTTTTTCATTTTTTCTGAGTCTGAGATTATTATTTTTTGAACGATTATGATGTTTAAAAAGTGCTTGCAATTTATAAATTAAAAAAAAAAAAATATTTCTTTTTGCAGTTCATGACTTAAAAGAAAGCAATTATATGGAGCGTGATGTTATGGAAGTGGATGAATTATGAGTCCTTCGACAACCCTTTAAATATTATGAAATTTTTTTGTTTGTGCAAAGTTAGAAAAAATGTCACGAGATACGAGTATAAGGGATTTAAAAAAATTTATATATAAAAATTATGAAAATAAGTAATTATGAAAATTTATTTTCAAGTCACAGGAACCTTAAAAAGGTGATTTAGCTGTGAAAAATTCCATACATTTGAAACAAAAATAAAAGTACAGCATATGATGAATGAAAAAAAATATGAGGGATTTGAACTACTATACAATCCTAATGACCTATTACAAAAGGTAAAAGAAAAGGTTTTTCATATGGGAATTTTTACTTTGCACCAAGAGTTTTTAGAAATGCATGTGCATTGATTTTTTTATAATAATTGTCTTTATTGTTATTGTATTTTAAGATAAATATTTAAAAATATGCTAGAGAAACGAGAGAATAATATTTCTTCTACTTACTGGCAAAGTTGAGCCAGTTGTGATTCGTGAAGAACTATAAAAATAAATTGGAAGGGAAAAGATTGAAGCTATGGAGAATCTATCTAGTGAACAAGATAATGGAAATCTTATTTCAAATGAAAATGGATAAAACAATTAAGAATACAGCAATATTTTATATAATTATTTTTCAGTTTAAACTAATTTTAATTTCAATTTAGAATTAGTTGTTCTTCTTCAGAACAAACTGCAGTAGATATTACAAAAAAAGGATATTAAAAAGATGATCTATTTTCTAAATCAAATAAAGTTTAAATCAAATTGAGCACTTATATTATAAAATTTTCTTGTTTCAGAAAGCAAAAATAAATTTCATATCTATGTTAATAAAAACTTAAGATAAACATCTTATATTCTTAATCTTAGTAACCTGACGATCATACTACATTAGAAATATTTATTTTAAAACATAAAATTTATTACAATAAACGGAATTTAATGAAAAAAGTCCTACCATACAGAAGATAATATCATAATCACGGATAAAAGATGAATGAAAATATGATGAAAGAAATTTTTTAATAGAAAAAATTCAATTATGAAATAAACAATTTCATTTTCTTTAAGTTAAGATTTTTCTTGCAAAAATAATTTAATTTATTTTTGAAAGTTATTATTAAAACTAAAAGAGTATTAATATTATTTATTCCTTTTAAAAAAACAGGGTTAACTTTGATATAATTTGTAAATATAATAAACAAATGCCTAAGTTAAGACCATAAAACGTTTTTTTAAAAACGAAATTAATTTTAAAGCAATTGTAATTGTACCTTTAATTTAACGAGTAAGAAGTTTCCCAAAACAAAATTTAAAAAAAATACAATCGTCCTCACTACAATCAAAAAATACAATCAAGTGGTTAACGGGTTAAATCATTCCAATATCTCTTCTATTCAGTGTTACTCACATCGGATTTAGACAATGTTCATATTGGTAGAGTTGATAATATTCTGTTTTCTCAACCAGTTTCGCTTTTGCTTAATTACTTTTTTTTTCCAAGTACCTTGGGATTTTTTGATGATGAATTTTTTCGTACTGGTGTTTTTATTTTAGTGCTATTAGTTTATTTTTTCATTGAACTTGCTTTTTGTTTGATTAATCTTTATTTCTTCATTCCAGTTCCTTATGAGGAGCACGTTACTCTTCCATTCATATTGCTTTTATATTATTCAAGTATAAGGAATGTTTCTCAATCTTTCCCTTTTTGAAGTTAAAATCATATGAGAAGTGACTTGCTCTTGACCCTAAAAAAAATTACAGTTTATGAATTTAATTAACAATATTAAGTAATCAATTGACAATAAAGTACTATTATTCTTCATTAAAGATTTAATACAATTATTTCACTTATCCTTCAAAAAATTTTAAATGTAAGATCAAAATCTTTGTAAACTTTTACAATTTTCATCATAGTCTTCTTAGAATAAAGCTTCAAAATCGAATAACGAAATATTATTAATTGAAAAATTGAAGAAGAAGTTTCTTAAAACTTAATTTAATTTTCATCAAAAAATTACTTTTCAATTAAAAAATACTTCTTTGTTATAGCTAGACTTTTTATATATTTTAAAAATTGATATTCATGAGAAAAATCAACATTAGTTTTTTCTTTCCGCCTAAAGCGTTTAGTGATTTTTTTTTTTGTAAAATTCAAATAACATTTCGAATAATTCCCGAAATATTTCAATTAATTAAATAGGTATTTCAGTAAAATTTCAAATATGGCATTTTTCCAATTTGAATAATGAAATTATTTTATAGAAAAATTAATTTTGCAATGAATTTTGTTTGAAATTTTTTTTCCATGCAAAAATTTTCAAGGACTTTTTAATATATCAGGGTAGATTTAAAATTGAAATTGTTTTTCTTTTTTTGATATGTTTTAAAATTGTTGCCCAACGCACTCCTTAACTTTGTCAACAATTATTCTGATTTGGAAGAGTAATGAAATGAAAAAATTGTTGTATAACTCATATATTTGTTAAGTTCATTGAAAGTTCAAACTCTGAATATTCTTAAAATGTTTTAGGAACAATCGAAATTTTTTAGAATCTTTCATTTGTATTTCTTATACTAATAAGTGTAATCCAATTTACTTAGGTCGTTTCCCAGTCTGTTAAAGATTTGACAATCAAGTTAATCACGTCATTTGTTAAATAAATATTATTCGTTAAAATATTAATCAGTTGCGTTGGCTAATCAGAACTTATAACGCATACTCGCATAGAATTTATGATTAACATCAATTGCACGCATTAGATATACTGAGAAACGGCGTCATTTTCCTGTATTAAGCCAATTTTACAATTCAATATAGTTCAATTAACTTAAAATATTAAATAGAATAGTAGAAGAATTCATTATCGTATTCCCTAATTCAATTAAATTCATATTATATATTTAAAAATTTTAATTATTTTATATTTACATTATGTTATTTCACACTATCTTGATAAACAAAAAAAAATTATTTAATTAATTTTGCTTTATTCACAAATTAACTTAAATTCACATATTAAAACATTTATCTTGCATCATTATGTAGGCACATCCTTTTTATATTGTTTAAGAATACTACATACATGAAAATCATTATCCTTTTCACTCTCCAAATTTAATTCTATATAGTGAATTTTGTTAAAAAATAAAAAGAGAAATTCTTTTTTTAATTTGCTCCTTAAATATTATTTTAATTTTTATTTTAAACTTTTTTAAAAACCTCATACCATATCCTGGCGTTAAATTAGGCCGACTATTGTTTTAAATGACTTTCTTTTTTTTTTCTCTTCTTTTATTTTATTGTTATTTGAAAAGGAAACATTTTTTCTCTTTTCATTACTGTGCTTTTTTTTCTCTCTGCTGCTGTTCTTTTTTTTTCTGGGATAATTTTTCCGCTCTTAACCATCTCTACATTGTTTTTATTTTACTTTCATTAATTTTTTTTTTTACTTTTGTTTAAAAATTTTCACCTGGAAAACAATATTGCTGTTTTGCCCCACAAACTTGGGGAAAAAAGGGAAAATGTTTTGGGTTGTTTTTCATTCATTCTTATAAACATTTGTGTATTCCAGGACTCGCTTCTGGTACCATTAAAATTTTCGAAATAATTGCTGTCTCAGATGTTGTACATCGTCATCATTGCTATTATTATTTTCGTTTTGCAAATTGAGCGCACATATACAAGATGATAATGAGAAAAAATGGGTATAGTATTTATAATACGCTCAATCATTTTAGGTATTTTTTTTTCAGAAGACAGAGAGTAGTGATGTGAAAAAAGAGTTGAAGAGTAGCGAGAGGCAGGTTATGATGGGATGTTTGTTTATCAAAATGAAAATTTTTTCAAAAGATTACAATAATCTTAATTTTATTATTGTATAGTCTTTTTTTTTGATTAATGACGTTCTAATTGTAATTAGGCCAACTGTTTATACGGGTATTAAAATTTTAAATAATAATTATTTTATTTAAAGGGAAATTTTATTATAACTCCTATTTATTTATACATTATGTATATTTGCGTTAACTTATTTCGCTTAAATATTATTGAGAAAACGAAAATTAATTTTTAAAAAGAAGATTAATTAATTAAAATTGAAATAAAAAACATTTTATTCTATTAAGAATAATCAGCAAATTTTTAAAACATTTTGATGTGATTGTGGTTTTTTGTTATTTTTAAAATTAAATTGTTCCTAATAATATAAAATTAAACATAACATCAACTCAAACATATTGTAAATTATGTTAAAAGCGCACGACATACCTACAGAAGCGATTTAATTTAGTATTTAATAAGAGAGGTTTTCCTTTCAAAATAATTTTAAGCAGAATAATATTAAAGAGCTAATAGTAATTATATGTTCATATATCAAAATAATTTCTGAAATTATTGAGCTTCATAATCAAAATATTATTTACAACTGTGTCCAATTAAATTTGTCGTATCAAAACAATATTCTCTTCTTAATAATAAATAAGGACGTGTCCAACGGCCTCGATGGATCCATGACTTCGTTTCATGTTGACCTTAAAGGGCCGACTATGAAGCGAACATTGTGAATAAAGCAATACAGGATCCAAAGGCTGGTGATTTACAGAATCCACCTTAGTACTGTTAGAGAGATCAACCGTAGATTTTGGTCCGAAGGCGAAAAGCATTGTGAGGCCTTACGCCGTAGATCTGCTTAAATGGCAAATCAAATTGGCTCTGGGGTTGTGATCTTCTATTTAGATGAGACCAAAACCAAAGATGAGGCGGATGTAGATGTGTACGGAAATGATGTGGTTCAAATTGATTTCAATCATCCTTTTCTAAAATCGAGATAAAGTTTTAAATCTTATAATTAAATATCTAAAATACGATTTAAATTTTCTCATAAAATCATATTATATATAATTTAATTTAATTATTATTTAAAAAATTATAACTTCTACATTTTCAAAATTATTCAACCCTACAAAAACCAAAGACATTTTAATCGCATAATTTGTTCAACAATCACAAAAATACAAAATTGCGTACTTCGCAAAATTTTATCAAACTAATTATACATATTTCATTCTTATATATCATTTTTTATACATACATATTTTGTATATAGTACATTACATAATCATCTACCACTAACAAAACCACTATACTAACACATTATATAATTGGGTATAAATTTGTTAAAATATTTTATTATCCTTGCAAATAGTATGAGAAAGTATAACAGAAATATTCAAGAAGCAGTGAAAAAGGAAACAGGCAATTTTCCCTCTCTTAATTCATCAATATGTAATTCTGATTGTATACGTATACATAAGGTCAGGCACGTGCATCAATCATTATACAATATTTGAGACTGTACAAATAAAACGTATAATTTTGACTTTTGTCAAAAGACTTAAAAAGAATAGAACAACTTGCAAACAAACATACAAGAATACAAATTAAAAAAAGGAAAAAAAAGCATGTAGACAATTAAGTTAAAACCACAGTCCACAGCGTTAAGAGTTGCAATGTACAATGTTTTGATGATAAAGATTAAATTGTTTTTGTTCTTTTTTTTGTTAGAAGTTCTATTGTTCATTTTTATTGCGGTATTTAGAACTTCTATTCTCTCATATTATTCTCCATGTACATCATATTCAGTTGGAAAATCTTTTAACGAGAAAACGTTTTCATGAGACATTAGACAATTTAAAAAATGCATGCTTAAGGCTTGACAAAAAAAATATCAAAAAGTTGCTATAAACAGTTTTACTGTTCTCTATTTGATTTTTTCTGTTTTGGAGACACGAATTCTTACTTACAAAACCATTGATTTACAAATTAAATATTTCCGAATAATTTCAAATCAGTTATTTTTAACGCCATTTTTTCTTTTTCTCTAAAATGTCATTCTTGTGAATAGTTAATGCTTAACTTTCAACAAAAGAAAATCCTATATGTATAGATAAATGAAAGCGAAAAAGAAAATAACTTTCCCAAACATTTATACGGAAGGGACCGGAGTTTACAAAAACCAGAAAGAAAATGAAACTAACACAAATATTTAAAACAAAACTAAAATGACGAATTTTCGAGAAAAAAAAACTATAAGAAAGTTTTAGTTAACCAACTTTCGTGGTAAAAGTTATTAAAACAATGCAACGTCGTCTGTATAGCACCACAAGAGTAATAAAACAAAAAAAAATTGCAAAAACTTAAAGTGAAAAGAAGTGCAATTTTAACTAACGGTAAACCACATGCACTTTGTGTAAAGTATTCCATTAGTAACTAGGTATATGTAGGATAATGCAACTTTTACGCATGCATGTATGCACATGTATAACTGTTATAATTGTTAAAGTAAATAGAATTACAATATGAATTTTTTGAAAATTTGGAAAATGAACCTGAGAATAATTTTTAGTGATGTTCGGAAATATTTGCAGCTTATTATACAGAACCTAAATTCCAAAAATGTTTTTTGAATTTCTTAGTTTTGCACTGTTATAAATAATACACTAAATCCTTGAGATACAACTACATCTTCTTTTAACACGACTTGCGACAAAACTTCGAGCTACAACATAAATTTCTGGAGCCAAAAATGGCGCATCTCGCAAACTTAATGTATTTTAACTTTCATTTCAAGATCGCAAAATATTTTTAATTTTCTAAAAATCATCATACTTGCAGTCACAAATTTCCATTTAAATAATTATTACTTTACAAGTCTAGCGCAAAAAAAAAAACTTTTAAATT